TTGCCTGCTTCATTAGGACTCTTTGAGCAGTCAAGTCTGAGCATTTACATACTAAAATGCATGTTTTATGATAAATTATTTTCATTTTACCTTTCTTTTGTATTACAGTTGAGGTATTATGTGGATCTATTTTCAAACAATGTGTCTAGACAGGTTACACTATGTATGAATTTCATTCCAGGATTGATAGGAGCCCTTATAAACTATTGGTTATCAAAGGGGGAGGAAATCTGGTAGGACCAAGAGCTTATAGACCAATTCAAGACATGTGGGGGCTCAAGGGGCCTTAGAAACTGAGAGGAGGAGCGTTCTACTCCGCCTAGAGATGACTGGGGGCTGGGAGGACAAAGGTCAGGGAAGACTTCACAGGGGAGTGACATGTGAATGGGTCCCAAACCAGGGATCTACAGGTTCCAAGACTGCACAGTAGCTCAGTGAGATCTTGGTAAATCTTGGTTGTGTGGGTGTTTATGCTATTTCACAAATGATCAAATTGCAAATCGAAGTGCAAGGAGGTTCAATGACTCAACAGATTCACAGAGCTACTGAATCACAGAAAATATCACAGGCTCCCTCTGCAAACATTTTTAGATCACCTACTACATATAGACACAGATCACAGGCATTGCCAGGCAACATCTATTGACTGAGCCTACAAGGTCAATAGTGGATAAGAAAGAGAATAAGACAGGCCTTGTGGAGGAGACAGTAAACAGGCCAACCAGGGGTTCTCAGCCTTCCTACTAGTCAGTACTATTGACATTCAGTGCCAGACAAGTCTGTTGTACGGCTGTGTTGTGCACTGTAGGGCATTTAGCAGTGCCCCTGACCTCCACCTGCTAGATGCCAGTAGCAGCTCCCTTGTCTCCTAGTAGCAACCAAAAGAGTCTTCAGATATTGCCACATATCCTTAGGGTGCGGGTCAAAATCACCTCTGATGGAGAACCACCAATATCAACAAATAGACAAGGTGATATCATGTTCTGTTAGTGCTGCTAAGAAGATAAACTAATAGGTGGGCTAGTGGTGCTCATCTGGGATTCCAGCTACCCGGGAGACTGAGATGAAGAAGCATGAATTTGAGACCAGCCTGAGCAAGTGAGCAAAACTGTGCCTCAAAATTTAAAAATAATGAAGCAGAGGGGATGTAGCTCGGTGGTAGAGCATTCTCCTAGCATGCATGAGGCCCTGGGTTCAATCCCCACTATAAACAAACAGTATATAAACTGGCAAGGTGGACAGTGCTCCGGAGGCTGCGCTGCCTGGCTAGTGTACGCAGGGAGGGCTTCTGCGAGGAGGCGGCATTGAAGGTGATGCCTGAATGATGAGAATGATGAGAATGCAGTAATGTGAGGGGAGAGAGCTTCCTTCCTCAGCCTCCTCACCCTGACTGTGCAGCACTTCTGTGAACCAGACACAGGCATTCCTCTCTGCATCGGCTGCCTCTACCTTCTCAGCTGCCCTGTGAGAGAGGTGCAGTTAATAGTCCCCTCATTTTATAGATGGGGAAACTGAAGCAAAGCAAGAGGGAGAAGCAAGAGCGAAGTTCTTGTGCCTGGCATCTTTTAGGGGTTAAATGAAGGTCAGTGTGGCCAAAGCGTAGTGACGGGGGCGGGGGGAGAGATAGGAGATGTGTTGAGGGAAAGGGCCTGGATCTTGAGGTTTTCCGGGTCACATGTGGGGAATGCTGTTGGGGTCACACCGCCTTCCCAGGGAAAGGCAGCCTGTGCCCATGGCAGATGGCGCAGGGGCTTGGGTCTGACCCTTGTCAGGGAGCACTCTGAAGGGTGGCCCTGCCCCAGAGTGCCTGTGGGGTCAGCTGAGGCCTCTGGGCAGCTGTGTTGCAGTTCCACGACTCCCCCGCGCCCCGCCACTCAGGGCCTGAGCACGCAGCCCAGTACACCTCCTACACACCGCAAGCCACCTGAGTCTTTCCGGGGAAGCTCATTTGCGGCACCATGGTCCCTTATTTAGTTTTATTCTGATTGCAGTGGGAAGCTGTTGGTGAGCATAAGGGGTCCCCAGCATGCTCTGATTTACACTCTGGGAGTTTGCTGTGCTGCTGCGTGAGTCAGTAGAGTGGCAGCGGGGAGGTAGAGAGACGGGGACAGAAGCGCCAGTGCAGGTAAGAGATGGGGTGGGCGTGCCGGGAGTCCGGTGAGGAATAATCAGGGATGAGTGGGTGTGGGAGGCAGAGGTTCAAGGAGCCACTGTCTCTGATAAGTGAGGACTCAATGGTGGCTTTGGGAGTCTGAGCCACAGTGAAGGCAGATGTTCTTTCCCCAGATGGAAGCTTATAGGGCAAGGAGTGGGAGGCTTTAGGGAGTCAAGGTCCTTTTACACTTTTCCTGATATTGAATGGGCACCTGCATAAACACGCTGCAGAAATGACCAAGGGAGCGGTCAGAAGCTGCTGAGACCTAGGGGACAGGGAGCCCTGGGAGTGGGCCGGACTCTGGACTGGGAGGACATACCTAGGATACGCAGCTGGGACATGCCAGGATTTTGGAGGAAGCACAGGAGCAGTGTGGAAAGGAGAAGTGGTCCCGAGGAGGAGGTAAACTAGGAAAAGGTGCTGCCAAGGAGGTGAGAGGCAGCAAGAAGGTGGGAGTGGCAGCCGTGGGGAACTCTCCCACCGTGCTGAATGAGGCGAGGGCGGAAGTAGTGTTGCCTGTACCAGTGTGTGTTGTGGCAACCTTGATAAAAGTTCTTTCAGTGGGTGGGTGGTCATGGGGCTTTGGCTTTGTCTTTCCACCTGCCTTCCCCTCCGTGTTCCCACCCAGCTTTAGCCTCACCTCCACCTCTTCTGCTCGCAGTAAGGGCTGGAGTCATTAAAACCTCTGGGAATCCTGGGCCCCAGTTTCTTGGGTTTGGAGGTTGAGGTGCGATGGGCACAGGTTGATTCTTAGTAGGCTTCTGGGTCCTCAGGGTCCAGAGTCAGACTTGCTGGAGGCACCTTCTGCCCAGGCCCCAATCCACTACTCCACCAGGTGTCTTAATCCCCATGGATGCAGCCAGTCTGACTGACTCTGTTTTTCTCCTACGTAGACAGAGGCCTCTGGGCCCAGATGGCTTTAGTTGTATGTGAAAGTGGTGGGCTGGATGTCCCAGCCTTACCTGCTCAGCCGATCAACTCTTCCCTGACCTCAGGTTCTCCCCAGCTGCATTGCTGGAGGGGGCATAACCTGAACCATGAGTCAAGTGTCCTCTCCCCAACCAGGAACAGGTCCTGCTCAGCTGAAGAGTATAGGGGTGCACCCAGCCCAGTGACACCCACTGACACCATCCTCCTCCATCCTGGGAAGGAATCATGTCACTGTCGTTCACTGCTCCATTCCTCCCTGTAGCCCAGGGAAACAGGCTCTTTTATATCCATTTCTAACCAAGGAAACTGAGGCTCAGAGGAATGGGCTAACTTTTCCGAGGTCCCATGAGTCATCAGTAGAAGAGGTGTGTTTGAAAATCAGCTTTCCTGGCTCCAACTCTAGCTCTGTCCCTGCTGTGTGGGTCCTCAGTCTGTCTTCCTGGGCAGTGGGGGACCTGCACTATTAATCTAGAAATTTCCTCCCTCCTGAGTGTTTTCAGGTATCTCAAGGGACCAGGCCCGTTCAGGAGCTGATCTGGTCAGGCAGGAAAAGAACCGCGAAGGGACATTCTTTCCAGATGCCGTCATTTCTCCTGTCTCAGCGCTCATCTTCTGGGCTCCAAAGAACGTTCATCCTACGGTGTTAAACTTGGTCCTGTTAGCAGACCACACCATCTGTAGCATATTATGAATTAATTAAAAATAAACCTGTAATTATCTTGTTAATAGAGCAATTATATTACATTGTAATTTTTGTGTTAAAGCATTAAATTGTTAAGTGCTAAGATGTAACACACACCACAATTTTTGTAAGTCAGTTTTGTCAAAATCTTCATTGTTGTCACACACTGGCAAACGCGCACAAAGAAAGTGGCCTCAGAGGGACCCTGTGGTCACAAGATATTTCTCTGAACCTGGTCAGAATGTGAGGCTGAAGAGGAAAGTGAGCTCCGCATTTATTTCCAGGGTTCTCTTCAATTATTTTTTTTCCTTGTGAAGAGCTGCCCTTCAGCCCAGCCTGGAAGTCCGCAGGCTGTCAAAGAAACTTGTAAACTCAAAGATTTAGGTATCATGATTTGTGTCTAGATGTCCCCCCAAAGCCTCATGCTACCATAGGTGGGGCTTCTTTAGAGCTAGCTGGATCTAGAGTGTGTGATGCTGGGATTGATTCATGGTGCAATGCCAGGATCAAGGACACTAGGATTAAGGTTGTGAGTGCTACCTGCCCTAAATAGCCTGGATAAGATATAAAGGATAGAGAGAGCCGTGGTCATCCCTTGCTTGCTTTGCTACTTTCTGTCCACCATGAATTGTTTCTCCTCTGTGATGCCTGTCTATCACGCCACCCTGCCTTGGAATCAATCAATTATAGATGAAACCTCTACAAACTGTGAGCCAAATAAATGTTCCCCTAATTTAACTTTGGGTGTTGGATATTTTGTCTCAGCAGTGAGAAAGTAACTAACACAGCAGGAAACTGTGCAAGAGGTCAAAGCTCTGATTGTACAGTTTCTCCCATGGGCCTTGGCTGGGGTCGGAGATCAGCCTGGTGGGAACATGTGGTCAGCTGGTGGAAGATATTGGCCCAGACACGTGTGTGTGTGTGTGTGTGTGTGTGTGTGTGTGTGTACTCACATGCTTGTGCAAGAGAGGCACCCAGAGAGGTGTGGGCTGAGATGGGAAGGAAGGAGTGCGTACTAAGATGGCCAATACCCAGAACAATCCTGAGGGCTCCCTGGAGACATTACCTTCCTGCCCAAGATTGCCTAGAATTTGCACGAAGACATTAAAGCCCCTCCTCTGTCGTGTACTCCACAGCTACATCACAGCTGAGTCTGGGCTCTTGTCCCTTCAGGGCTGCTCTAGCACAGGAAGACAAGCACTGCCCCTACCCTCACCCAACTTCTCTCCCCAGAGAAACAGACAACCTGGTGGGAAAACAGCATCACTGCAGCTTAGGACAGCTGGGAGGGACCTGAAGCTCCACACCACCTCAGCCCCCTGCCCCATTTTGCAGGTAAGAAAACAGAGGCCGCACAGATCAATGATGCTCTCTGGCACTGCTCTTGGGCTCCCCCTTCACTCTCTCTGGGGAGATAAGGCAAGATGAGGCTGGGTGGGATGGGAGATGAGGGCCTTGGCATTCGCTTGGACTTCTGGGTCTCTAGCAGCAAAGCCTGTGGAGTGCTGGCTGCTGCACCCACCCCCACACCGTGTTTCCTATGTTTCACTGTGTGGTGGAACCTCTCAGAAAAACTGCAACCGTGCGGAGGCATGGGGAGCATGGGGAGCATGGGGAGCATGGGGAGCATGGGGAGTGCCCTCACAGAACATCTCCACCCTCTCCCCACTGTCTTCAGCTCCCACTGGGACCAGAGAAAGCCAGTGATTTGTCCAAATTACCAACAGGGCCCAGGACTCCAGGCTTGCCCAGTCTTTGTCTGCACGCGGGGACTTCTGTGCATTTGCAGGCCCTAACGTCACAGGGTGGTGATTCTGGCTACCTTCCTGCCCAGCTGCCTGCCCTGTTGCTGCCTCCTTTGTCCCACTCACCTGGCACAGCTTTCCATCCACCCACATCAGGCGCTCGCCTGCCTTTTGAACCGCAAATCTCCCAGGGTGCTATTGAGCCCCAGGGACAAGGTCAAGACCCAGCAGACAGCATCAGGCAGTCATGGGATGTCCTGGCAGCTGTGTTCTCTGCTGGTTTTCCTCAAGATGCTGTGAGGCATCCACGGCCAGTGTCCGTGGAGCAAACCAGAATCTTGGGGTGGTGCTGAGGTGGCTCCTCAGAGCAGGTTTGGGGTGCTGGCTGTAGAGCCGAACCACCTGCGTTCAAGTTCAGTTGTGACTCTGGGCTGCCGTTGACCTTCCAAAGACTCTGTAAAGGGGAGAGAATGTGTTCTTACGACGAGAGTTAAATGAGTTAGGCGAGCGACTCATCTCCAGTGGGTACCCAGCAGGGCCTGGCAGAGAAGCAAACCTCAGTGGCACTCACCCTTGGTAAGATCATGGTTTAATCCCTGCTGGGATCTAGGATGGTGTTATCTGCATGGCTCTCCCTTCCAAGCCCCATTCTGTATGAGTGCGAAAGGGGCAAAGGAGATGACAGGCACCTCCTCACATTTCACCTTGGATCAGCTTCTACTGCCTGCTGTGTGAACTTGGGAAAGTCACTCCCTCTGACTCAGTTTCTTCACCTGTGAAATGGACAGAGACCTCAGCGGGGCGTTTTGGAGACAAATTAGAGAGAATATGTATAAAATGTCAGTAGTCAGTAACATGATTTCTATTTTTCTCTTGGTGATGGGGCTGGAATCCAAGGCCTCATGCATGGTAACCATTGACCCCCTGGACCAGGCCTGCACTGAGAAAAGTGCTGGCAGAGGTTGAGCCCCAGCAGTGGCCCCTATATCCAAAATCAGCAGGGCCGGTGGGGAACCAAACATCATGGAGCCTTAGATCCCAGTAAGAGAACTGACTGCTCAGTACTTCTATTTCTCAGAAGGGGCAGGACAGGGGAGCAATGCATGCAGTTCATCATGCTTGAGCACTGACTGCCTCTTCCCTCCTCCTTCCGTCCTCCTCCCTCCTCCTCCTCCCTCCCACCAAGGCCTTTCGGGTATGGAGACTGCAATCAGCCCAAGGCTTGTCAGGCTAGGATGGAGCATGGGGAGGTGAGGAAGCCCAGGAGGCTTCCAGGGTCCCGCTCTTCCTCTCCTGCTTCTTGTACCTATTCATCCATGGTTCATTCATGCCCTGAGCTGTCCACTCTCCAGCTCATTCACACCCTCATTCATTCACCTGTCCATCCTCCCTTCTGCACTCACTGAACACCTGCTGGCTGCCAGGCTTGACTGGAGCTCCAGGGAGAGCATCAGTGAGTCAAGTGCATCTGTAGCTCAAACCATGCTGTCCTGATCATGGCCTAGTGGCTTGCATGTTGACCCTCAGACCCAGGCAGGCCAGGTCCATGGCTAGCCAGATCCCCAAGTAGGAGCTCTTTCCATCATACCACACTCTTCCCTGGTGATTTTACCTCCTTGGTGCCATTGCATTCATCTTGCCAGCCCCTTCCCATGCTCCACTCTGACCTCTTCTGCCTTTATCAACTTTCCCAATAACCTCTGCCTACTGGCCTCTCCTGTCTCTAGTCTACCTTAGGTATGGGTGCTGGAGTATTGTTCCAGTCTGTGTCACTCTCCTGCTAAAAAATTTTCAGTGGCTCCCTATTTCTTGCCAAATAAAGGCCAGAATTTTCATCTTGGCCTTCAAGGCCCTCAACTTGCTGCTTCTAATCTACTTCTCTGGTCTTAACTTTGTCTTTGCCTACTTATGCACCATCTTGTAGAAATATGGGCCCACTTCCTCTTACCTAACCATGCCATTTGGTTTCCCACTGTGAGATATGTGCTTATTCATTCCTCTCTGTTTCTGATGAGCACCATGCCATGACCATTCCAAGTCCACAGGCTCAAATCCAACCTTTACTAAAGGTCACATATAAGGGCTCCTTGCCTATGACTCTCTCTTGGGTCTTGCCCCTCCCCCATGGAAGGCATCTCTCTTTCCTTTTAGTTCCCCAAATACTTTACCTGAGCCTCCATAAGGAACCTTATCCTTCATGGCGACGTCATTTACACACATGCTCTATCTCTCCTTTTAGCCTGGAATGCCTTGAGGGTAGGCCCCATGGCATGGCCATTACTGCATCCCTATGCCTCATCTACAAGCCATGCATACAGTAGGTACCTGCTTATCTCTGTGCTGTCAGTCCTCCACTGTCCAGAGAGGTCCCTCCTCTAGGAAGGTAAACTTGGAGACTGAAGGGGCGTGGCCTTTGAGGCAGGACAGTTGGGTGGCTGGTGGCTCTGAATCCAGGCAGACAGAAGTAAGCTGACTCCACAGCTAGCTGGTGACCTAGGGTAAATTACTCAACTCTCCAGCCTCAGTTTCTCCATCTGTATAAGGTGGGTTTATGGTGGCACTCTTTCTGGGGGATTGAGGAGATATATGAGATAATACAAGCATCTACCACTCTCTAGTTCAATCCGCTATTACCAGCTGGGTGGCCTTGGCAAATATATCTCAAGACTTTCTCAAGATGTGACTTTCTCATCCATAAAGTGGACTAACAATCCCTGCTGCCCTAGCTAAGATGTTATTCAGAAGACTGGATAAGATGACGGATGCTGTGTGACTCAGTGCTGTGAAAAGCAGTGTCCCAGTTCGATAAAGTGTAATGGAACGGGGGATTTCTTTAAACTCAACCACAAGAAAGCCAAAGTTAGTAGCCACTCTTCATCTCTCATCTCTGTCTTTTGGTGTCCGTGACTTCACCTTTGCCAGTGACAGAGGTGGGAGCTTTGCCTGCAGGCAGCTCTCCCTATCCCCGCTGACCTCATGACTGAATAGAAAAGAAAGTTCCCCACCAATCAGAGGGAGACAGTCCCAGGGAAGCTTCTGATTGGACCAGCATGGTCACGCGCCCACAGCGCTTGTGCAATGGGATGGTGAGGAGCACAGGGGCACATAGGGAAAGTGTGGCTCCCTAAGGAAATGTGGAGCTGTTAGCAGATGAAGGGACAGGTTATTGACAGACAAGCAGGACAAATGTCCCCGCTAGGCACCGGAGCGTTTTGTTAATCTAGATTAGGGTAAATTAATTGAATACTTCTTATGCACCTAGCACCACAGTGGGCACTAAGGAAATAAAGACATGATACACTCTCACTTCCCAGACAGTGCATGGCTTTGAGCATGGGGGTAGGGGTGCTCACAGGCACGCCATTGTTTGGAAAGCGAGTTTTGGAAATTGAAATCTGCTTTACAGATGTAAGGTGGCATATTGCTATTCTTTTTTTTTTTTTTTTTTTTTACAGTACATGATGTTTACCAGAACCTCTGGGAGCAAATGGGGGTGGGGCTGAGAAAGAAGGAAGTGTGAACTAGAATAGGAAATCACACAGAGAGATCACTTAATAGTTTGTCACAGGCTATTTTGCCTATATTTTCTCACGTGTCTTCACCTGAACCTTTCCACTCACGAATTATATCTGCATTTGGAGGGTTAAGAAGGAGATGCCTGGAGAGGTGAGCTCCCAGAGGTCACAAAGCAAGGAAGGGGCCAGTGGAACCCAAGTCTGCCGGGGTGAGTCTCTTGCTACATTTTTTCTTTCTTTCTTTTTTTTTTTTTTTTTGGTTTTTCTCTGGTACCGGGAACCGAACTCACGACCTTGCGCTTGCCAGGCAGGCGCTTTTGCCACTGAGCTAAATCCCCAGCCCCGCTACATTTTTTCTTCCTTGCACAACTGGGGATGGAACCTACAGCCTTGGGCGCGATGGTAACTGCTCCGCCCCAGAGCTCCACCCCAGCCCCATCCAGCCTTTGTTCTCAGTCCTGCGGAGTGGCAGGCAATGACCAGCCAGCATCTGCCTTAGACACAAACCTTCTACTCCTGCTTAGAATGAAGCAGAGCTGAGCTAGGCAGGGGCCAGGCCTGCTGGCAGCTGGAGAATCAAGCATGAAATGAATGAGTGGCCAGTAGAGAAAATGATTCAGGAGGCAGGACTGAAAGGAAAAGATCTTCGCAGGGGTGTGTGTGGGGGATCCCACGCCTGAATCTCCCTTCCCTCCCTTCCCACCCCCTTTTTCCTCCTCAGCTCAACTCCAAGTGGCAGATTTATTAGTTTTAATTAACAGCCCAAATGCTGGGAAAACGTCCAAATTCCAGCTCTCGGCATCACTGGATTTCCATGGGAAGGGGAGGGAGGGGGCCGATGCCAGGAATAGTAATAAGCAGGGGCGGGACATCAGGAGAGACCCCCCCACCCTGCGCCTGCATGGGAACGCCCCACCTGCTCCTGTCCCCAGCCTGACCTAACCTCCCTTCAGCTGGGACTGGAGCTCAGCTGGGCTGGGTGAGGGGAAGGTGAGTCCCAGGCCAGGGTGGGGCCACGCAGATTGGGAGCTGTTCTGCTGGTGTGTGACCTTGGCCAAACTGCTTGACTTCTCTGCGGTTATTGTGAAATTCATCTGTGAAAGGAAGAGGATGAATTGGAGCTCTCTAAGGATCCTAGCAGCTTTAACTCAGGATTCTAGGATTTTCCGACAATGTTTAACTACCCCTCCTACTCCTTCCTCTCCAGGGCAACTCCTTGGATTCCTCCCTCGGGCCCTAGTGCCTTCTCCAAGGCTTTCTTCCAGTTTGTAACAGTTCTCCCCCCCAGGTCCAAGTGCGGTGGTGCTTTTGTGGTTTCCTGGAAGAGTGAGCGCTGCTGTTGGAGGTCTACAGTCTGGCTGCAGCCTTTACTAGGTGGTATCGCAGGCATGTCTGTGCCTATTTCTAACGTGCATTGTAGATGAAGCGACCTGCTGACTGCCTGCATGGGGGCAGGAGTGGAGGCAGTGATGATTAGGTGAGAGAATGCTCATGCCATCCTGGTGCATCCACCCACACGGGGACCTACCTATTACCCTGCATGACTGGGAGCCTCCCTGCAGCCCCCTTTCCAATGGAGGACCCTCTTGGAACAATGCACAGAGGGAAGGAATGATGTAATGAGCAGTGACCAGCAGTGGCAGGCAGTTGGCGCGGCAAAGCTCAGTCTCTGGCCCAGGCCAGTATAAGAGGAGCTCTTTTGATTCCAGTTCCATCCCTTCCCCTTGGTATAAGCCCTGACTATCTTCAGCCGGGCTCTCTCTTCATGCTGTGCTTGAGATCATGCAAAATTATTCAACTGAAATCATTCAGCAGGAAAGGCACCACGAGCAATCAGGGTTTGCTGCTGAGAAGCTGTGGTCTTAACTTAGGCTAGGCAGCAGGAGCTAGGGCAGCAGGGAGGCTGGCATGTTTCAGTGGCTTCCGGAGACTGAAGATGTAGGCCCCTGCTGGTTCTTTTCCTCCAGTGCATGCTCAGCCCAGAGCCCCAGGAGGTGAATGGCTGGGAGCTCCAGCCCCATCTTGGTGCCACACCTTGCTGAGTATCTTCAGCCAGGGCTCAAGGCCTCTCCGCTCCAGTTCTGCCAGGCAGGAGTCATGCACTGAGCAGAGAAGTTTGGAGCATATAGCCATCCACCTCTTCTGAGCTTACAGAATCATGCTGCCTTCTGGGGTCTGGAGGGAGACGGAAGAAGATGAGGACTAAAGGCAGCAGGGCAGAAAGGGGAGGAGGAGGTGGCTGGGAAAGGAGAACCAGGAATGTTGTAACCACCCCTGGGTGATGGGACTTGCTTGTAGGATGCTACTATATTTTGGACCTATACTATAATGTGCTACTATAATGTGCCCCCAAGGCCCATGTGTTAAAAGCTTGGTGTTCAGCTTGGTCCTATTGGAAGGTGGTAGAGATGTTAAGAGCAAATGAGCCTGTCTTAGTTACTTTCTCATTTCTGGGACAAAATACCTGACACCCACAAATTAAAGGAGGAAAGGTTTCTTTTAGCTCACAGTTTGTAGAGGTTTCAGTCCAGAGTTGGCTGTCTTCAAGGCTGGCCGCATAGCGGAGAGCCATGGCAGAGGAGAAAGTTCTGCAGGAGGCAGCAATGCTCAAAATAGGAGGAGGAATCTCTCTCTCTCTCTCTCTCTCATCTCCAGGCCACACCTACAGTGACCCACTCCCTCCCACCAGACTCCCTCTCCCAGCATCACACCGAGCAATAAACCCATCAGTGGATTAATCTAGTATCACACACATGATCCAGTCACTTGCCCAAAGCCCCACCTATGAGCACATGTGGCTTTGAGGGGACATCTAGGTACCAGCCATAATTGGGGGGCTAGTGGGAAGCTTTAGATCATTGGAGAGTGCCCTCCAATGGGATCATGGGACTCTGATCTCATTCTCTTTTCTTTCTTCTGCTTCCCAGCTGGCACAAGGTGAGTGGCTTGCTCCACCAGATACTCCCGCCATGATATGCTACCTTACAACAGCCACCAAAGCAATGGAGCCAATTGATCATGGACTGAATCCCCCAAAACTTTGAGCCAAAATAAATCTGTCCTCTTTTTAAGTTGATTATCTCAGGTATTTTGTTGTAGTAATGGAAAGCTGATGAATGCAAGTACTTATCGATGTGTACTTCTCTCTTCAGTCCTGCTGGGATACAGTGGGGAGACTGGAGGGGATTCCACTACAAAGGCCTCCACCCCTTCACCCTCCCTTCCTCCAGGTGACCTTCCACCCACCCATTCATAGAATTCATATGTCATGCCAGACTCTTCTCTGGTGACAAGGAGATGCTTCAACTCTTCAAAATCAGGCTCTGTGCCAATCAAACCTGCTCTTTCCTATCTTGGAGTTTGATTCTGTCTCCTTGATTCCCCCAACTGGAAACGCTGGTCTAGTCTCTGAAGCCACATTCTCCCTGTCAGTCCCCCTAGTTCCTATTTTTCCTTCCAGTTCATTTCACTTCCCATCACCACTGACTTCCTGTGATAATTTACCCACATCCCCATCACAAGCACCTTGGTTCTCCCAGCCAGGGCCAGTGGGATGAGACCTCAGGAAGAGATGGACGTTGTTCCTGGATTCTATGCCAGAGTTCGGCATGGAGTGAAAATAAAGGGCGCTGGAGTCCAACAGGCCTCTTTCTCAGCTTGTGTCCTCTCTTCCTGTCTGTGTCAGTCTGTGTCTCCGTGTTCCCCTTAGGCACATGCAGGTGTTAGTGTTTCTTCCAAACACTGGGGGAGGCTGATGAGACCAGATGACGATGTCAGGTGTGTGACACACAGAAGGGGCTCAGGAGACGCTGGCTCTGTCTCCCTCTCCCCACCCCCTGATTCTCTTTTTCTCCTCGGGGGTGCACTGCCAGTGCCCAGCTGCAGAGTCCTGCCAGAGTGGTGCTGGCATGAGGGGCCCTGTAGTCATGTTGGAGCTCATGATGTGACAGCAGAAAAGATGAAAGCTGCTCGGCTTCTGGGGACACTCTCATCGAGACAACAGAACCCAGAAAGCTGAGCAGATCCAGGGGTCTTCATGGGGCTTAGGCAGGATCCCAAAACTCCATCTGCAAGCCAGGCAGGCAGGCAGAGGCCCCCCCCAGTCTAGCCACAGCTTCCAGGAGGGTAGAGGGAGCACCACCTGCCCCCAGGAAGAAAGAGAAAGGAAAATTATCCAGGAGTCCCCTGGTCCCACCCCTCGTCCTTGCACACACATCTTCTCCCAGCAGCATTTCCTTCCTGCTGAGTTAGGATTTGAGGCTGGAGGGGTCCAACCGTCCACCTTGCAGATGAGGAAAGGGAAGCCCCAAGTGGATGTGAACCCTGTCCCTCTTGCTTCTTGTCCAGAGCTCTCAGTGCTCTGGAGCTCGCAGGTGTCTGGGCTCAGCACAGGACAGAACGGAGGCCTGCAAGTGGGATGTGGCTTTCCTGAGAGAGAAGGGAGGATGACAGAACATGTAGAGGCTCTTGGCAATGTCCTGCTTCCCTGGACCTGGGGGTTGTTCCCTTGGTGTTCACTTTATATAACTCATTACACTCTCCATTTATGGGTTATTCAATTTTTGGTATTCATGTTATATTTCACAATAAAAAGGTTTAAAAACTCCAATAAATCTCGCTGAAACCAATTACACATACTAAAAAAGCAAGCAAGCTAAAGCAGCTGGAGGTGTGCGGTGGTGCAGGCCCCAGCTGGCCCTCTGTGGAGTGGGCACAGAGTCCTCGCTGCTCCTGGCCAGGCACAGAGGGTTGTGGGGCGGGTCAGGAGACCTGCTGAGGGCTCAGGGTAGGCACCGTGGCTCCTGGACCAGGCACGGGGGCAGGATGTCATGAGTCAGGCTGTAAATGCCATCCTTGGCCTCCCCTTCGAGGCCTTGCCCGTGCCATGGGCCTACTGTACTGTGCTTCTCTCGGAGCATGGGCTATTGGGATCCTGTGGCCAAAGCCTACTCCAAGTCCTGCTATCCCTTTCTGTAAAATAGGAGAGTTGGAGGAGAGAGAGAAAATTGTGTCATTTGGGACTGTTCCTAGAAACTTCTAGATTCTGTTCACTGGGGGAAGCCTGCCACCCCTGAGAGGTCATCTTACCTTCCCAAGGCTACACAGCCCTTAGTGCAGCTCTGAACAGAGGGCACCTACAAGAAGGCCCCCCTCTCCTCCTTTCCCTCTCCCCCTCTTGCTCCTGGCCTTGGCCCCGCTGGGACATTAGGGGGACTCTGCCTAAGAAGGCAACATCCCACTCCTTTGTCCCTGGTGATGTGGGGCTGGTCCTGAGCACTTGTGACTTCTAAGTTTTTTGAGATTTAAGGCCCGGCACACTGGTGGCCTCCAGCTCCCCGGGCTGTGGGTGGGAGGAGGGGTATGAATCATCTCTCCTCTCCTGGTGCTTAATAAGAACTCGGCTATAAATGTAACCAGGCCATTTATGGCCACCACCTCTTCATGTAGCCTGGCAGTTGGCTCCCAGCCCCCTCAGAACCCCCTAGCCAGCTCGTGCCCCTCTCTGGGGAAGGGAAGGGGTCCTCTCCTCTGGCACCTGGAGTAGGGCAGGGAGAAGGTGGCCTAAACTGGAGGCCGCATCCTCTGTCAGTGACTCCACGGGTGCTGGCTAAGCATCTACTATGTTCTCTTGGCAAGGTGTCAGGCACTAGGATATGCTGCGAAGTCGTTTCCTCTCCAACCCCGGGGATCTCACAGGGGGCCTGGTAGAGTCTCTCAACAGAGCAGATAATCTCTATTCCCAGTGATTATGGCCTGACAGTGGCCAGCATGTGCTCTGAAATCAGCGTTCTGTCCTGCCATGGGACCTCAGTGGCCCAGAAAGCGTTCTCCAGGGAAATGGCTGTGGTGGTGGGGTGTGGGATCCTCTTCAGGTGGATGGAGGTGGTGGGGGTAGAGCATGCAGGTCCAGAGGAGAAAGGGAAAGAGGACAGGAGGGCAGAAGATCTGCCAGCTAGGAGGAACAGCGGGGCCTTGGGAAGGGGTAAGCAGAGCCTATGGGGCAGGGCTACCCCTGGGTGCTCATCTTTACCCTGGGCATGAGGCGCAGGGTGTTAGATGAGGGCAGGTGATGTAGAGGTTTGAGTGAGTGTCTTAGGAAGATCATCTGACAGACATGGAGTCGTCTTTTGCTCATCAAAGCTCCTGAAGTGCCTAGCAGGCTTGCTGTCTTCCCTGGGGACCATCCCATGGGGCCTCTAGAGCTGCTTTATTTTTCTCTAAGCACTTTCTCATCTGCATGGGGCTCTCTTATGATGCTGTATTTATTACCCCATGGTCTGTGCTTCCCAGCTTGGATGCAGGATGCTGCCCGCTCCTGTGCCCAGGACCTGGAACTATGCCTTGCTCTTGACTTGCCCACAGGTATCTGAGGACCCCGTGAACAGGTGGCAGGTAGACTGAAGATGGTAAGGCTGGGGCCCAGAGAGGATGCCTCCCAGAGATTCCTG